GAATTTTAATAACTTAGCTATTACAAAAATAAGTTTTTTTTAAGAAAACCTTACCGTAATTTTTTAACTTTTGCATAGTTAATTTTGTGGTAGATATTGAATACATAGCATAAGGTACATTGAAATTTTTGTTGTAATGTTTAACAAAATTTATTAACAATTCTCATAATTTTTTTATCAAATGTAAATAAAAATAAAATGAAATAATAATGTCAATGTTTTATGAGCATATATAACATCATTTCAATAAAAATAAATAAATTATGTAACAACTATATCTTCAAAAATTGAAACAATTACATTATGGATGCATAAAAAATTACTTATGAATTGAGATGAGAACGTAGTATGGTATCTCCAAACTACTGTAATATGCTATATTGGTCTCTTCTTGTTTGAATCTCGTCATTTTTAACAAAATGGCAACTTAAATGCAAAAATATCTTGCAATTTATTATTGTACTTGTAAAAAGAACACACAACGTTAATAATTATATTCAAGTTTTAAAATAATGAATCAACTATTTCTTTTCCTGCAAAAACAAGAGCTATATGTAATTGATGAGCTAAAAAAATATACATAATAGTTTAGGGGCTGAAAAAATATAATTGCTACATTTTATTTAGAAGAAATTAAACAGATTAGGTTTGGTCTCGTCCCATTTTCTCTTGCCAACCATCTCGTCCCTATAACATTATTGAGAAAAATAATAAATTAATTTTATTTAACAACAAAAATATAATTACTTGCATTCAAATTATGTATTCAGTTGAAAAGTAATATAATTTTACTCAATAATAATGAATTGATTTTACATAATACTCTTGAACAAAATCTTACATGCTAATAAACCCATTAAATACAATAAAAAAAATTTTAAAATAAAAATATAAACTTTAAAAATATCATTTATTTAATATATTGACAAAAAAAGAGGCAAGAATTAAATAGATAAAAAAGGGTTAACATTAAAATAAATTTATTTAATTAAAAATTATTTTTTAAAGTTAATTATATTTTAAAATGTCAAATTTTCTTTAAAAATATCTTATAATTTAAGTTGAGGGTGTATTAACTTTTAGGAAATACTTTTGACACTTTCTAAAAGTCATTAAAAGTTGTTTGCCTAAAAAAATGAGTTGAAGGTAGTGCTTAAAAAAAATTGTTGGATGTGCATTAGAGAATGTGATCCCAAACTTTTGAAATATACAATTGGGTGTTAGGGTACTAATGAACAAGTTAAAATATGGATTTTATGTGTTTTGATCATGAAAATATGATCCTGATAAAGTTAACCATGCATCTTCATCCTCAATTTCAAGTTAGACTACTTTAAGAAAAATAAATAAAGGTGGCGATTAATTAGAAATCTCATATTGTAAGTTATAAAATGAACAATTAATCATATTAATTTTTAATATTAATGTGTATTAAATTATTTATATGATTTTTGTTCAATATATCAAACTTTATATTTTTAATTCTTATTGTTTAAAAAATTATAAAAATTATTGTATTTTTTAATAATTGTACATTCAAAAATATTTTTCATTATATATATAAAATTAAAACACAAATTTTATTATAAAAATTGACTTACCAAATAAACTTTTGGCTAACGAAAAATCAAAGACACTTAATTGTGGTGGCTTATAGTAGTAGTTGGGTATTATTGATAGTGTTTGCCATCCAAGATAGACAATAACAGTGATAAGATTTATTATTTATACATATTTTTTAATTAATTAAGATCATTTTTACACGCATTAAGAGTCTTCATATGCACTAACACATTCTTAATGCAAAATTGTCTAAATATTAAATTACATGCGTTATATTCGAAAAATGCAGTGAGAATTTGTCGTAATGTTGCCGGGTGATAACAAGGAATGGTGAGGATTGATGATAATTTCCAGTAAGTAAATATAATATATATATATATATATATATATTTAAATAGAACAACTTTAAAAATTATTTTAATTGAAAATATATTCATCCAAATGAATTTTTAATTTTTAAAAACTAAAAATAATATTTAAATACAAAAATCAAACAAGTTTAAGCATTCACTTTTAAATTTTTTTCCTTGAAAATCATCCCCTCAACAATTTTTGTGAAGAAAGTGCATGAACTTCGAGTCATTGATTTTTTTTTTTTAACTACTTAGCAAAAGGAATTCAAATTTGGATGAGAATTTTGAATTTTTTTTTTTCCTCTCATATTTGAAGAATCTAGAGTGTGAAATTATTGCAAGGAATGACATTCTAACGACTGTAATAATCTTCTAAAGAACAATCTCAGCCGAGCTCTCTTCCTATCGAACTTAGCTTCTTTCTTTTGAGAAAAGCCTCTTCTACCTCTCCTTTGAGATAGAGGCTTAATTTGGACCATTCAAATTTAATCTGAACAGTCGAGATTTAATATTTTTATTTTTTATTTATATTCTTAAAATAAAAAATATATAAAAATTTTAAAAAAATTAATAAATATATTTATCAATCTAACGGTCCATATTTAATATTAATAATTCAAATTTAATATTAAATTTTTTTAATAAATTTACTGTTCTTTTCAAAATATATTTATACTATTTAGAATATATCTAAAAATTTAATTTAAATTTTTTATATTAAATTTGAATCATTTATATTAAATCTAAATTATTAGATTGATAAGTATATTTAAAAATATACTTTATTTTATCAATCTAAATTATTATATATTTTTATTTTAAAAATATAAATAAAAATAAAAGATAAAATATTAAATTTGCACCCTTCAAATTTCCTCTACCTCAAAGGAGAGGCAGGGGAGGCTTCCCTCGAAGGAGAGAAGCCCAACCCTGTCCTACGTAAACATTGGTAGTGTTTTTTTTTCTAATTTGGATTCTGTAACAATTGCCTCGATGTGAATGGGTAATGTTTTTGGGGAAATGAAGATGAGGCACTCATAAAAATATTAATTACAATTACATATTTTAAATTATTAAAATTCTAATAATATATTATTTTTCTTATTTGTAATTAAAAAATTATGAATAGTAATTTAGAAAATTAAAAAAATATACTTAAAATTATTTATAACGTCAATCAAAAATTTATAAGAGTAGTATCTCAATTTTTTTATTATCAATATATAGATAAATTACATGAAAAGTTAATAAAATATATTTAAATTTCTTTGTAATGTTAATTAAGAATTTATAGGAATCGGTTATGAGTTTTAAGCTAGTCACTTGTGATTTTAGTTAGGAATTTATAAAAGTCAACTATAAATCACAAGTGAATGAACTTTGCTATCAATATATAGATAAATTTTTTAGAAAATTAATAAAAGATACCTATGAATCTTTCTAACATAAGTTAGGAACTTTCAAAAGTTCATTGTAAATATTAATTCAATCAATAAAAGATACTTTATTGTAAATAAAAATTTTGACTCGTTATTAGAATTTCAATAATTCAAAATCTATAACTGTATTTAAGTTTAAATAATTAATTTATATTTGGGTCAAATGGACTTCCTTATTTATTAATTAAATACATGTATTCAGCCCTTAGAAAAACTAATTTTATTTAAGGTATAGCTGAATACTAAATGTTGGATTTTTTTTTTGCAAAAGTAGTCCATAAAAGATTAATCTTTATCATAGACAATACTCCCTAGGTTCTTGTCATAAGATATATTTTAGAAAAAATTGATGGTCCTTAATATAAGAAATTGGTGGTATAGTAATTATTTTTTTTCAATATTACTACCATTTTAACTCATTAATTATGGGAGAAAATGTAATGTAAATTTAATTTTTTTTCATGTATATATATAAAATTAGAAGTTTATTATTTTCAAATAAAATTAATGATTTAACTATATTTTCTTGATTCTAATAAAATAATTAAAGTATATGAAATTATGTACTCCCTCTACTAAAAAAATGTAAAATATTTTTTTTATATTTCAAGTTGTAATCATTCTTTTTTTCAAAATTATCTTTAATAAATAAATTACTTTATATTTACTTTTCTAATCTTATTTATAAGTTACTTTCAACATGTTTCATCAGCGTCAAGTGAAACCTTAAAACTCATTAACTCTATTTTAAAATTTAATAAGTTTTAAACTTTATCCCTATTCAATATACACATTTCAATAATATATTTTCTCTCTCCAACATTCAATATAGGGTTTAAAATAAAATTTATACTGAAAATTTAATGATGTGACTTATAAATAAGACTAACAAAATTTTTTCTCTCTGTCCTATAAATAGGACCAGGGGGAGTATTTTAGAGTAAAATACCTTTTTAAATATGGATATATATATATATATATATATATGAAAATATAGTATTAGTTTTAAAATAAATAATTACTTTATTAAAAGATGAGATTCAAATAATAATGTCTTATATTTTTAAATGAAGAAAGTACATGTTACTCCCTTTGTCTCTATTTGTAGAAGAAAATATTATTTTTAATTTTTTTATATAAGAAAAATTATATTTTTTAATAAACATATATTGCAAATTTCTTAAATTACTCTTTATAATTTTATCATTCATAGTCATAAAAAATAATTAATAAATATTTGATTAACACAATTAAAAAATAGTATTGAAATCTTATTCTTTTATTTTTAGACATAATTAATATACTTAATTAATTTTTTTTAAATTGTGATATAATTTAAAAAAAATAAAAATGAAAGGAGAATGTCATAACCAAAATTAAAATCAGATATTGATGCCACATCAGGAAGGTGTCCAAGTACATTTGAGGATTCAGGTCAAAGATTAAAACAAACATGCCCTAATAAATGGAAATTATAGTGATAGGAAGCTACTGGCCTGGGATACTGTGAGGAGGAAAGAGAGATGAGGAAGGGTGGGTCCACTCTTCCAGGCTTCTTGCTTTATATCCTCCCTTCTTCTTACCATTTTCACTGAACCAGGTTTTGCAGAGAAGTCAGATCGAGGGTGAGAGACAGAGATTTGAATCTGAATTTACACAAGGATTCGATTAGGGGCGAAAGCAGAGAAATGAAAGGAAGTTATGACATTCCTGTGTCCACCAATGTGCAGAGAAGATACAATCGTTGGAAATTTTTTATTCCGCTCATATACGACTGGCTCCTCAATCACAATCTTTATTGGCCCTCTCTCTCTTGCCGGTTCTTCTTCTTCTCTCTCCTTCTCTTCTTCTCCTTCATTTATATCCATGTCTCTGCAGATAAGATTCCATGGTGTCCAACACCCAACACGTACCAGAGCTTCGACTTCAGCTCTTTACGTGTTTGTCTCTCTCTTTCACTTGACTCCTCTCCCGCAATGATGATCTTGGGTTTGTCAGTGCTCTTCTCTGAAAGATCCTTCCACGATCGAGCATGGATCTTCTTCTTGCTTTTTTTTTTTCTTGATTTTTTTTATTCTATCGGAGATGATCCGTCGAGATACAGTCGAATATTAAACATATAGATCTCAACGGTGATTCAAATCTTAGTTCATTATTCTCAGCGTCCGCCCCTAGAATCCCTGTTGGTGTTCTTGATGAGTAATTTTGGTTTTGAATTCGATTCAAAATTTCAGATCAGTTTTAAGTTTAGAGACAGATCACTTCATTTATGTTGAGACAAAGCTCATAGGGATTAATGGTTTGTTGTGTTGTTTTTCTCGAAACAGCAATTCGGACCATTCAGAATAATCTGGCTGATTTTTATTTCAAGTTTTTTTGTTTAATTTTTAAAATAAAACGTGATATACCCATATATTAATTGTCGTCCAGTTTTTATAATTATAAGACAGTCCCTGTCTTGCCGAAGTTAAAGGCTGTCTTTATCATATCTGTTTATTTTTATTTAAAAAAAAAAAGACTTGAGATCTGAGATGTCCTCCGTACGTCAACGAACGAACATAAAGGATTTGTTCGAGTGATGAATCTATCTTTTTCGTCATTTTATTAGTAAAAATCCTTAATAAAACACAACCATGGTGTGATGGTGGGTTGTTCATGTTCGTTTTAGACGAGTCATTGCGGGTCAAATCAACTTTTATTGAATGTACCCTGAAATTGTGATTAATTAGAAATTAAAACAATTTTCTCCTTAATGATGTTTTGTAACCCATGATTATATAGTTATGCTTGTATTGATTTCACTTGCTTGAAATTAATACGAGATCTTGTGAAGAAAATCATATATATGTTGATATATTTATTTATGTACTATTCTATATATGTATAATTACTCTATTCGATTATAATCTTTTATCTTGTTTATTTGTTTTCCCTACCAGGCAGAGTATCTTTATATTGATTTCTTTCTGAAAAATGTTATGCTTTTCGAGATTGATGTTTTAGAAATTAGTTGTTCGTAAACTGTTCACACTAGTGGTAGGGTCGTTTGGTTATTTTCTTTTTCTATCGAAGGTTCATTGGACTGCTACATATGAAATACTTCACATATATCATGTGTGAAAAACAATATCATTTTAGTATCATTTCTGATTTAAAATTTTCAAATTTAAAAGAATTTGAAAGCACATAATTAGATCTTTGAATCGATAATATTGATTTTTAATTTTGAAATGAAAAGCTGTACAATTAATCATACAAAAGTAAAGAAGATATAACTCTTTATTGATCATAATCAATATCTACTAACCTTCTACATTCTACAGTTTAGAGTCATGGAATACAAAATATTAATATCGAGATTTTGATCAGATCTAACCAGTTAATTAGTACTTTCATCAGTTTAATATTGTGAACAAGATGCATCTAGAAGGACATGAATTGTCTCTTCTATATCCTAAACCAATCGACTTCTCATTGTTTTTCAAGATTGTAGTTAGAGATTATCAAGAGATATATTTGTATGCTTATTTTGAAATGAGCATATACAAATATGCAATTAAAAGTGCTTTAATATTTAGAAATACTTATGCCTTGTTTGATAGTATGGAAGAATTATTGATGGAATTGGGGAAGTGGAAGAGGAAATGAGGTTTTAAACCATACATGTTTGGTATGCACATGGAAGTAGGTTATTTTTTATGATAAAAGAAAGTGAGAGAGGAAGTGAGTTCTATGGATATAAAGGTGGAAATGAGTTCCACAAATTTTAATAGAACTAGATTCTTTGAAGAACTGAAATTTATTATTGTGCCGAACAACCTTTTTTTTTTTTTTTTTCAAATCCATTGTAGCTAGACATAATAACCTGCTATTATTGATCATATGTGAATGTCAAATACAATTATATTTTCACTTCTCTGTCACTTTTTCTACGAATCTTGTCGGATTTGGGGTGTCTACTGCCCTTGTTACTGTCTCCTCTAATGTCCAAAATATCAGCCCAGTTAGAATTTCTCTGACCATTAGTTGAAATAATGAAGGGCTGATCAGATTTTGAGCATTAGAACACAGCAAAGAGGGTAGCAGGCACCTCAATTCCAAATACCTTCATACATGTCTTAGAGGGAAATATATAGTCTTGTTTAAGCCCTTGACATCTTGTTTTAATCGCAGGTGGGGCCCTCAATTGGATGAAACTAGTAATACAAAGAAACAGCGGCTGTACCTCACTGAACAGGCAAGAATATCCATGTTTCTTCTCTTGAAGCTTTTCTTAATTAGTTTGCATTATTATCTTAGCATGCTTTGTGTTGAATTGCCTTGATGAATTGCAGACACACACACACGCTCTCTCTCTCTCGGTTTACGATTGTTGTTGTTATGTATCAGACTGATGACGCGAGTGCTCCAAATACTCTAATCATAGCAGACTCTGAGATTGTTAAGCCTAGGGTTGCAACGGAAGACATCAGAAAGGTAACATATCATTAGTATGACTTGTTTTAGTTTTCATGTATGCTTTACCATCATGAAGCTTGCGTGTGTGCGTGCGTGTATCCAAGTGTAATTACTTGTTGTAATTTCATTAATTTCTTGATTTATCAGTTTAATGAAGATGAACGCTCCCCCAATATCAAGAAGAACAAAGCCATTATTCACCCCGGCGAGGTATATACACATACGCACACATACATGCATGCATATATAGTTAATATTCACGTAGGTTTAATTTGAAATATCGAGACAAGTGTTGTATATCTCTTTGCTTATGTTAGATCAGTGTGTCAATGTTTGAGTGGATTAACAGTCTTTAAGTTTTGATGTCTTTCAGGTTAACATAATCAGGGAAATGCCACAGAATAATAATCTGTTGGCAACACACTCAGACAGGCCTGAGGAAAGTTTGTCTAATTTAGTGCTTCTTTTTTCTTTTCATTCATATCTAACTAATAATTAGAAGGTCAAGAATATTTAATTTGAGAGATGTTCAAAATATCATCATATTCCAATAATCAAGATCTAAGTGGGGTTAATTATGAAGTAGTTAATTAATGTGAGTTTATTATGGCATTAAGTTTTTTAAAATTATGAATGAAACAGGTGCTAATTTGGGACATTGACGCACAACCAGCTCGCCATGCTATCCCTGGAGCTGAACATTCAATACCAAATCTGGTTTAAAATTTTTTTCCCCTCCTCAAGCATTCATTTTCACAGTAATTTTTTTAAGATAAATGGTGCTTTGTAATTGAGATGGAACATCAACTGTATGAATACAAATTCATTTGGCTACCTGCATGTTTGGATGATGCCCGGTAACTTCTAAAAGGTTAAGTATTGAGTTTATAGGTTATTATTTTATTCATATACATTTTTAAACTTGTTGAGTGTGTGGAAAAGAGCATCCTAAGAGATACTTCATATCTTTTTCTTTAATTTATTGGGTTTCAAAAAGCATCCTAAAAAAACACTTACACACATACACATACACAATAAATATATATATATATATATATATCCTCTTTAACTTGATGGGCATATATTAAGTTTATATGTATCTGTACTTAGCTTGTATACATTTTTCAGTCAACTTATGTAATGCGAAATTTCTCTACCCTTTCCTTTATCAACTTAATTAGATTTGACTTCCTAAATATATAATGGTTTTCACACCGCAAGATATAGTCCAATTCTCAACCTCTCGTGGACATGAACCATATTACATCATTTACATGCAAGAGATCAATTACTTTCAATTTTGTTTTATCGCAATGTTTTACTATTAATGCGCTATAGATGATACTTTGTTATTTCTCTTAAAATATTTAAAATCTAAGAAAAGAAGAAGTAAAGATAAATTGAAATTATTGCTGTATATATTGTTCTTGCTGCTGTAGAAGCTTGAATTTTGAAACCAAACACAAACAGCTTATTTTCCTTTTTACCTGATCAACAACATATTTATGTTGCATTGTTTATAAGTATGTGAAGGATCTTTTCGTCAAGTTTCATGATATATACGTATATTTTCATAAGATTTCACGATGACATTTTGCAGAAACTGATTGGTCACACCGATGATGCTCAATTTGCTTTGGAGATTTCTGCTATTGAACCCTATGTTCTTTCTGGAGGTCCATATATATATATATATATATATATATCGTTCCTTTTCATTTACATTTTAAAATCTTTTAGAATCTGTGCTCGTTACTTGGCATGATTATAGCAATTTGTTGACTTGATGGGAAATATATATATATATATATATATATATTAATTCAGGGAAGGACATGAATGTTGTTTTATGGAATGTCAATGACCATATCACATACTTAGCAGCAGCATCTAACCTTGGACCTAGGACCCATCATGTCCCATCTGTCTTCCCACGTGGCACCTACCGAGGCCACACAAATACTGTGGAAGATGTGGAATTTTGCCCCACAAGGTAACTATACTTCGATATATCTTGGGTTTAGAACTTCTCGTACACATTTACATTAATCAAATAATGTTTGTTACGCTCTGTTGTTTTGATTTTTATCTGATATGTTTCACCCACTTTCATTTTTGTTGAAGTGCACAAGAGTTTTGCAGTGTAGGGGACGATTCTACTCTAATACTATGGGATGCGCGAGTTGGTCCGGATCCTGTTATCAAGGTTATTGTTTTTGTTTATTAACAAATCAATTTTCTTATAATGATAATAATTAACTAATCAATCCTTCAAATGCAGGCGATCAGAAATTATATATACATACGCTAAAAATATCTCAATAATTAAATAATATATAACTGGAGAGTAGAGTTTAATAAACGTACTTGGTACTCTAGAGAAAACTTAAGAATCTCGATTATTTTAAGAGCGGATAAATTTACAAGCTGCTAGACTACCTTAACTTTACAGAGAGAATAGAGAGCATGAGAGTGGAGAGAAAGAGAGATTGAGATAATGATCAATTAGATAAATTGAATTGACTAAACATTTCATATCAACGTGCAAAAAACTGACTCAGTAATAATCATTTAAAGTTTTCTCTCATAACTCTAACTCAATTAACTTTTTGATATGATTAAAATTAACGGTCAAAGAGTATAAGTTGAACCTCTATTCAAAGTGGCTCAATCATTTATGTGGTTTACTTATTATAATCTACACAATATCATGAAGAATCAATTTTCAATTCTAAACTTAATAATTAATTAATGCAAATCTATTATATTTGAAATACTCCAACATCATCTTCATCAAGTTTCCCCTCTTTTGTTTTTCTTTTCTAATGATAAACGCACACACATATTGTTGACAGGTGGAGGAAGCTCATCATGAGGATGATATCCATTGCGTCGAATGGAATAACTTCGACGTTAATTATATTCTGACTGGGTAACAATTAAATGTTTGATCTTTTAATTATATTATATATAAATAATCTTTCTAATTTTTGTTTTGTTTCTGTTGAAGTACAGTTCTGCTGATAGGTCAGTTCATATGTATGATCGTCGAAACCTTAACAATGGCCGTGGACAGAATCCTGTTTATACATTCCAGGGCCATGATGCCGCGGTCCTTTGTGTTCAGGTACTTGTGCGCGCGCGCGCACAAATGAATGACACTTAAATCATCAAAGAAAAGAATTAATGAAAATTATATCCTAGTAAATTTCTTGAAAAATAAATAAATAAGTATTTAAACAACTATAAATTCAGTTTTAATTATAAGTAAAACATTTAAATTTTAAATATATTTTTTAGTTTTCTAATTGGGAGTCCTGTTTGCAATTATCTAAATTACTATTTATAATTCATTTTTTAAAATTCTGAGTCATTAATTTCTTCTTTAAGGATTAATTAAGTATGTTTATCTCTAGTTAATCAATAGTATGTCTTCAAAATAAATTAAACATGTTTGAGCTTAATATGCTTGTGTTCCAGTGGTGTCCCGAGAAACCATCCGTCTTTGGCACTTCTGGCGATGATGGCATCGTCAACATATGGGACCATGAAAAGGTTTGAGAACTCACTCAATTATTTAATTGCAAATAATTATTTAATGATGATAAGCTTACCTTGGAAACACTATACGTAATCTGATATATATATATATATATATATATATTTTGTGTTCAATGGAAGAGCCTCCGTTGAATAATGAAGTGTATGGATCTTTGCCTAATTACAATCACACCTATATTTAGATCCCTCATGCATTTGTGTGTGTGTGTGGCTGTTTGATGTGAGAACTTCTTTAAGTTGGGGTTTGTATAAATGAATTTAGATTTAAATTTGGATTTTAAATTTAAAATATCACAATTAGAATCAATATATTTAAAATTCTTTAATTGGATGGCATGAAAAAATCCACTCCAATAAGAATGATTTGACATTTGTTATACTTGTGTGACTTGTCCACATGGATAATGTAAAAGAGAATGGTTGATATTTGAAAGAATTATTATAACAAAAAATTTGCATAGATTTGAATTTGATCCAAATTTATAAAATTTTATAAATCCCAAATATTAATAGACTTAATCTAAATATAAATCCAAAGACACGATGATCCAACATAAAATATTTTTTTATAAAATTCTATTAAAGAAATTATCTTTGGAAATGTTTTTCCCTGAAACATCATACTATATTTATATTGGTTTGTCTATAGGTTGGGAGAGCTTCATCATCTTCTGCTGGTTTGAGAGAAGAAAGGACTCCTCCTGGTTTATTCTTTCGACATGTTGGACATAGGTGAGTAAGAAGCAATTAATTGAAACGTATATATTATCACTATATTATTTAGCTTTTTTTGCCTTTTAACGATAATTGATTAATTTTTTCACTACAATATGTGATTTTTGTTATTAATCCAACCACTTCAATTGTAATTTTAATGTCTATAGCTAGTTGTATAACATTTCGTGTTCATATTCTATACAGTCGCTGTTACTTGTATGCAAAACTTTGTAATTGATATGTGTGTTAATCATTATTTTGCTGAGTGCCTGGTTCAGAAATGGAGAAATGACGAGAGTGAATTTAACCTAGGTAGTACTGAATATTAATAGATATCCATGCAAAAAAAAAAAAGTATCATGCATTAAATTTTGTCAACGTTCAAACATTCAAAGTCTTGTAGAAAGTCTTGCAACAACAAATCTTATTTATAAAATTGCCACTGGTCATATTTTCAATGCCAGGTTTTATTTTAACCAGTGCCGAATATAAGTGCTAAAAATCATTTATGTACTAGCTAGTGAATATTCAGGTATGGGCTCTTCATTTTTATATTTCTTTTTTAAAATATTAAAATGTTTAAAAGCATTTAGCTTTTTCACTTATATATGTATATGCATATTATTCAGGCAAAAGGTTGTTGAATTCCAGTGGAATCCATCAGATCCATGGACCATTGTTAGCCTGTCCAATGACTGCAGAGGACGTGGAGGAGGGACGTTGCAGGTGAGCAAATATTTAAATTACAAATAAACATATTTATAAGATTCAACAATATATATGTATAATTATTTGTGTTGAAATTAAAGTTGAATAAATAATATATGAAATAATATATATGGTTAATTATTTCCTGAACTGATACAGATGTGGAGAATGTTGGATATAATACATGAAGAGGATGGGAATGAAGAGAGAAAGATGGCAGAGCTGAATAGGTTGAGACCATGGAGTCGAGGACTAACAACATCGTTCATTAGAGATTTAAGCTTTTCCTTCTACTAGGTTTTTAGTGAAATTAATTAAACCCACTTAATTACTTTCAACACTGTATATATATATAATATATATATCCTCATCGTGGGCAACTTTTAATTTGGAGGCCAAGATGTTGGAATAAATAATATCTTCACATGTTAACTCGTCTTATTGCATGCAAGATTCAAATGTTTGCTTGAAATTTTAGAAGTGTTTCATTATTATTGTTCATATGAGTCTGTAGTTTGTGTATGTTATGTATGCTATTTTGGACATATTTATATGATGCCATATTTACCAATACAGTTTTAAATTAATACATGTAAAATGTTGTCAAGATATTTGATGTTCATGTGAGAATATGCTGACTGTATATTCAATAATGTGTTTCTTTTTTTTAAAAAAAAATCAATCACTACTACAAAGAAAATTTAAATACGGAACGCTTAAAATTCTTAAATAGTAAAAAAATGAAAATGACTAGTTTAAATACTAATTCTCTTTTAATGAATCAATTAAACACATACATATATATACCAAACACATACACACATGCATATAAACATAAGATTAACCTATGAAAGGGTTTTGTGCCACTAGACCCAAGATAGTCGACTGGGTGTTCCTAGACTTGTGTATTTTCACATTGATAATAGAATATTAAATTATTATTAGGAGTAATATTAATGGAAAAATTGAACGATTTTCCTTCTTTGCAAATCTAAAACATACAATTAGAACATCATCTATAATTAAAATTAGTCACATTGTTAGAGGAAAAGAAGTACCAATCAGCAAATATTCTATGGAAGGTGAGATTGAAGAGGAGGAGGGTATCCACAGAGGAGGTGTTCTCACAACAAGTACACGTGTTTATAATTAAAGTTTCGTTAAATTAAAATTAAACGATTTAAATTTTCAATAAAGTTGGTTTCAAGATATTCACATGTTAATATTCGAATTCTGTCAATTTTATTGCACGAAATTAACAATTCTTCTAAAGATGTTTGAAAATTAAATTTACAATATATATTATTTTGTATTATATATTTAAAAAGATTTGTTGGTACCATTATTACAAATATTTTGGCCAATCAAAAAGGTCATGGGTCAATGGTTCGGCTACTGGTGACAGTGGCCATTTTTTCCGCTCTAAAATTTAATTTTAAATAAAAGCTTTGAGCTTGTAGTAATATTTCATAATTATTAATTGTCTTCTACGGGCCGAATGAGATCTGAGAATATTAATGCGTGGCGAGTTTCATTAAAGGATTAATGATGTGATATTATTATAAATGAGTTTTTAAATAAATCTAAAATTTTACTACAAAAATTTGGCCTGAAATGAAATTTTACTGCAATCATTTTGTCTTACATTTTAACTTTAGTTGAAACTTAATTAAATTCTTGTAGTGAAATTTTAAATTTGCATGGGCCTAATTTATAATAGAAATAATGCAATTTTTAATATTTTTAATTTGTATTAATTATTAATTTATTCTTTTAAATTTAATTTTTATTAATTTAATTTTTTAAAATTTATTTCAGCTATCAATTTTATTTTTATCATTTTAAAAGGAGATAATACTATCAAAATTTATTGATATAAATAATAGAATTTTATTTAAATAAGAAAAAAATGAATTTTGAAATTTATAAAAAACAAAAAATAAAACATAATATAAATGGATTACATAGATAAAAATTAAATTAATTTAAAAGTTAATTTATTTTTATTTACTCGTATATAAATTTTAAGTTATTGATATATTTTACATATTAAATTATTTTAAAAATTAATTTGTGTTTTAAAATTTAAAAAATTATATGATAATTTTAAAAAAATAATGCATTAAATTAATAAAATTAGATTTGAAGGAATGAAAATGTTATTATCCCTTTATAGTAATATCACACATTTGCTTACCAACAAATATATATGTGTATATATATATATATATATATGCACCCATCGTCCCAAATCGCAAGTCAATCAAGCAGGGTCGATAAAATCATGTCCTCGTACCTCGTGTTTCCTGATGCGTGAGTGGTAGACTGGTAGTAGCAGAAACAAACTCGGCAGGAGCGTATTCTTCTTCAGCCGGCCACAGTTTCTAGTCTCCTGTTTGGTGTGTGTCAGTGATCCGTTCCTTCCTTCATTCAATCATTCCATTGAAACACCCAAAGAAGCAGACGAAGATGCCTAGCATCTCCGCTCCGACGATCACCGCTTTCTTCTTCCTTCTCTTCTTCATCTCACACGCCCACTCGTTCTACCTCCCCGGCGTTGCTCCTCGGGATTTTCATACTGTACGCTCCCTAAATCCGCTTACTCCTGTTTTCCTAGTTTATATCTCTTTCTCTCTGGTCGTTGAATTTCTTTGAATCCTGGATGTTGCGAAAGTTGTTGGATCTAGGGTTTTAGGTCTGATCTATGTCCTTTTGTTTGTGTTCGATCAAGATTCAAGAATAATAAATGATCTCATTTGCCTTGCAGTTCCTGCTTACGTATTTCTTCAGGATATCGTGGATTTTTTGGTTCTGATGTGCTTCGAGCTAGAAATTATTGTCATTTCTGGTAGAAGATTGTTTGTTCGGGTGAATTTGATGTACGAGTGTCTGTCGGAAAAGGAATCGTAGAAGTGCTAAGGACTTAGGTTAGCTTTTTGAGTCCGGGTCTTGATTGTTACGATTGATTGAAGTACGTCAAACCAATAACGGGGTGTTCAAATCAATTGATATGAAGTGAGAAATTCATATAATGTAGCTTCAGTTATCGCCTTTCTAGTGCTGAAATGAATTTTCCTCGTGCTTCAAGAAATGATGTAGTAACTCCTACTTGTTGTGTTTCTTGAACGAGGAGTCTAATATATATGTTTCAGTGATTTTATTAATTTCAATTTGTTCGTTCTGTATTTTTGGTTCATCATATTATCCTGAAAATATTGATTCGTTGTTTCTACTGTGGGACTAGGATGAACCTCTGTCTGTCAAAGTGAACAAATTATCATCTACAAAGACTCAACTTCCATATGACTACTATTTCTTGAAGTATTGCAAACCCCCCAAGATTGTGAACAGCGCAGAAAATTTAGGAGAAGTTCTTCGAGGGGATCGCATTGAAAATTCAGTGTATACGGTACATATCTATTACTGATTTTCATGTCTCAATATACTTGGATAATTAGGCCTTTTGATTTTACAACCTAAATTGGTTTATTCTTTTTTCAGTTTAAAATGAGGAAGGAACTGTCTTGTACTGTGGCTTGTCGTTTAACTTTGGATGCTGAGTCTGCAAAGAATTTTCAAGAAAAAATTGATGATGAATATCGAGTAAACATGTAAGTGATTAATGTATATTTTCTAGCGCTTTGCTGTTGCTACATGGTATAAGTCCCTTCTGTGCTTTTAAAAGATTTCTTATTGACAGCCTGCTTGTCTTTTGCTGTGTATTTCCTTGCTGGCACAAGTTGCTCATGAAGCTTGCTACTTTTCTGTACTTGCTTTGATCATAAAGCTTTGAAATGAACATGCAGGATTTTGGACAATCTTCCAGTTGCTGTTCTTAGACAGAGGAGGGATGGAGCTCAATCAACCACATATGAACATGGGTTTCGTGTTGGGTTCAAAGGAAACTATCAAGGGGTATAAACTCAGAATACACTTTTTTTTTTATGGAAATATCTTTTTCTGTTCTCACAAATTTAAAATTTACCTGCAGAGCAAGGAGGAGAAATATTTATCAATAACCACTTGAGCTTTAGAATCATGTATCATGAGGATCCTGAAACTGACTCTGCTCGTATTGTTGGGTTTGAAGTCACCCCAAACAGGTGTTGTTCTCTATCCCTTCAATGGCCTCTTTTGTTCGAGGATTAAAACAATGTGTTTCATGCTATTTTAAAGAAGGGCCCTAGGTATATAGTAGATACTTCCCTTTTCCATCATTATTTTTCTCATACCTCATGCATTTTATGCTTGTTAACAATGCTCTCTCCCTCGTCTATATTGAAATTAGTTCAAAATATTGAGCTTCTATATTGACTGCTTTCTTGCTGTTTTTTGCATAACTACTTAATGTGTGTTTTTTTCCTTTTCATGTGAATTCTATTACCGCATACAGTATCAATCATGAATACAAGGAGTGGGATGAGAAGAATCCACAAGTAACAACATGCAATAAAGACACTAAGAATTTAATGCAGGGTAGCACTGTTCCACAAGAAGTAGAAAGAAACAAGGATATTGTATTCACCTATGATGTTTCCTTCAAGGTATCTCTGATCATACCTCTGGCCACTCTCTTCTTCTACCTCATCTATGATTGGCTACATTAATTCAGGTCTAATGATGATCTTTTTCTTCAGAAAAGCGAAATCAAATGGGCTTCTCGATGGGATACATATCTTCTAATGAATGATGACCAGATCCACTGGTTCTCCATCATTAACTCTCTGATGATTTTCTTTTCCTTTCTGGAATGGTGGCAATGATCATGCTGAGAACTCTTTACAAGGATATTTCCAATTATAACCAGCTAGAAACCCAAGATGATGCCCAGGAAGAGACAGGATGGAAACTTCTCCACGGAGATGTTTTCAGGCCACCAATCAATTCGAATTTACTTTGTGTTTACGTTGGTACTGGTGTTCAGATCTTTGGAATGACCCTTGTGACAATGATGTTTGCATTGCTAGGGTTCTTATCTCCATCCATCGAGGAGGTCTTATGACAGCCATGGTTCTATTGTGGGTTTTTATGGGTTTAGGTGCTGGCTACTCGTCAGCACGTCTGTACAAAATGTTTAAGGGCACGGAATGGAAGAGGAATACCTTAAAAACTGCATTTATGTTTCCGGGCATTCTTTTCTCTGTGTTCTTTGTGCTGAATGCTATAATTTGGGGGGAGCGATCTTCTGGTGCGGTGCCTTTTGGAACAAGTTTGCTCTTGTTTGCCTATGGTTTGGTATCTCAGTGCCCTTGGTATTTGTTGGCAGTTACTTGGGTTTTAAAAAGGCAGCTATTGAAGATCCTGTGAAAACCAATAAAATTCCCAGGCAGATACCCGAACAGGCATGGTACATGCAGCCCATCTTCTCTATTCTTGTCGGAGGCATTCTCCCATTTGGTGCTGTGTTCATCGAGCTCTTCTTTATCTTGACATCGATTTGGCTGAACCAGTTCTACTACATATTTGGCTTCCTTTTCATTGTGTTTGTTATACTATTAATTACCTGTGCGGAGATTACAATCGTCCTCTGCTACTTCCAGTTGTGCAGCGAAGACTACAATTGGTGGTGGAGATCTTACCTCACTGCTGGGTCCTCTGCTCTGTACCTCTTCCTGTACTCTATTTTCTACTTCTTCACCAAATTGGAGATAACAAAACTTGTCTCAGGCATCCTGTACTTTGGGTATATGATAATTGTTTCGTATGCCTTCTTTGTTCTGACTGGGACTATTGGCTTCTATGCATGCTTTTGGTTTGTCCGCAAGATATATTCTTCTGTGAAGATCGACTGATTTACATCCACATAGCGGGTGAGAAGTAAGGTCAGCTCTCAAACTATAAGAGGCCGTAGGAAGTTGAAGACTTGAAGCAGATAATGAAGGGAACTTTTTTTTCCCTCGACTGGAGGTTTTTTTTTATTATTATTTTTATAAATGTTAGAGTGGCAGCTGTACTGTTAATTAGTTACGTAGTTTCCAAATGTTGCTGTAGTAGAGATTCTGAAGCAATGATTTGATGGCTCGCATATTTCTACATGTCCATGTGACTCAAGGTATTCAATCTGCAGATACTGGTCGGAGTATTTGTGCACGCATTTTACTTTATATTTTTTGCTTTCACTCTAGTATTCTAGGTCTTCGGCTCAGATTAATATAGGCGGCAACTTGTGGGCACCTCTTTGGGGTGCATACTTACAAAGAATTTAATCACTGCTGCATGTTTAGGCTTTGAACCCGAGATTTTTAGTTAAGCTGGTTCAACTTTTTAACCAGTTGATTCAAGTGTTTGGTGGTTCTTATTTTAATTTCTATTTGACAAGAGTTGAGGTTTGGTTTTTTGGGTTTTGGGGGGGGGGGGGGAATGAATTGAGTATGCCCAGCAACTTGATGTTGTGCCTCGTGATTGTGAGGCCGGTTGATGGGGTGTTGACAAATTTTTTGTCAAGAGTTTAAGTGTGCATTTAGTTTTTAGTTTGTCAAAAGTTTATTTTGTAAAAGTTCATTTGGTAAAAGTCAGTTGCTGTAACAAAATTTATGTTTAAATATATTTTTTCAAAAATCGGTTTAATACATTGAAAATTATTTGATTTGTAATAGTGAATGTGCTTTTGAATGTATAATTATCAAAAAGAACATTGATTTATAATGATTTATAATTTTTATTATACAAATGTAATATATTTAAAATATTCAAAAAACATAATAAAAATTTTAAATAATAAAATTTTGATCTATAATGCTAAAAATTTGATCTTTAGTTATTTGTATTTTTTAATTTATAATTTTAAAAGAGTAATGAAGATTTATAATTTTTATTATACATTAATGTTAAAAATTAATATGATTAATTACTCAATTTATAATACTAAACAATTGATACCTAATTATTATTATTATTAAAATAATAATTATTTTTTAATGAATTAATTATTTTTTAAATAAAAGAATAAGAGATTAAATTTAGGGTAGTATAATTAAATAATATCCTACTTTTTAAATTCACTTTTCAAAAGTTTTAAATAGTTATATTTCAGAAATTTACTTTCAGCTACTGTTTGAATATGCTTTCAGGATGTGCTTTCCTGAAAAATATTTTACCCAAACAATTTTAATTTTTTAAAAGTAAAATTTTGCTTTTTGAACATGAAACGGAGGAAAACCAAACAGATCTTAAATTTTTGTTCATCTATTTTTCATCCTTGTGTTAGGCTTGATTGGGAGTAACAAAAAGAAAATATAGATTAGGATTTATATTAAGTATCCAAATGTGTCCCGACTGGGATTATTTCCAAACAAAAGATATTATTAAAAAAAGCCATGTATTTTAGTTACCTTGTGATTTAGTCCATTTTATGCAAGGGACAATATTTTGTTTTCTATATGTGAAAAGATTTAATTATTCTTTAGAAATGAATTCCATTTATATAAACAAAAATAAAGCTAATCTTGAATTTTATCTAGGATGATTAACTGATTTTTTGATGGCAGGAACAATTCTAATTTGTCAAAGCAAAGTATAATTTAGCACAGAGGGTAAAGAGATTCACGAGCGTGATCGTAGTTCAAATATCCTGAATCGATTTGTCCCAAATCCACATCTGGTTGGGTCGGGTTTTGGGCAACCGTTAATTACTTAATTCACATGCCTCTCCATTTCTTTGTTTCTCCTCCTCCTATTTTTTCCTTAGCAAGCAAGCAACCAATCAACAACGTTGGTCCCTACAACACATGTCACTGCTACTTATCGTTCGCTCAGAATGGTGATCATCAATTTCTGCAGAAGCATAAACAACCAGAATTAAATGAACATCACAAAGCCCTCTGCGTGCGGTCTCTATAATCCTCTGAATCTCACCAGAGAAAAAGCAGAGAGTGAATGGTTTGGATTCAATTCGTATATAATATTTAAATAATTGAAATTCAAATTAACGATTTTAAATTCATATCATACTTAAGATTAATAAACAAGTGACTTTATCTAAACGGTTAATCTAAACTTTAATGATTTAGATGTTATAGGTACTCAGTGCCTGTACTAAGTACAATTATTAAATCCAAATTCGAAAATAAACAAGAAGAACAAAAAGAGAGCATATGATGGAATAGACGAGAATGCTCGCGTTCCTTTTTTTAAATTTCAAACCCTTGTAATTGTTCCCTTTGTCTCACGCAAAATATATTAGGAACTCCAACTGAAATTAATGTCTTGTACTCCTTCACTTTTTTGTGAATTGATTGATTTTTAATTTGTGTTTTGGGAATAAAAAATCACCTCCCAATCGGAAAGAGTTGAATTGGCCCATACCACATTTTCACGTTGAAGAACATATTAAAGGAGAGTTCCGATTACTGATTAACAATTCAGAGAGGCCCATCACCTCTTTGAAATGTTGGGTTTGATTCCATGAAGTTTCGCAGTAATTATTCCTTGTCCTTTTCGAAATGTTGAGAAGGCAATAAACCGTAGTTTAATGCTGAAAAGTCAACCAAGAGATTCCATTTTCATAGGCAGATGAATCTCAGTTTAGAAAATTAAAACTAAATTTGCTTTTATTTATTAGCAAGGCGACCTTATCTTCCCCAGGAAAAGGGCTTGCTTGTTTTCCTCCTATTTCAAATAATTCTTAGATCAGATTTGAAGAAGTGCTTACTCTTTTGCATATCATAGCAAACCAGTCTGCTATGGCTTCATCTTCTTCCTCTAATCCATCTTCTCAATCTCCAAAGAAATATGATGTTTGTATCAGCTTCAGAGGCGAGGACAAACGCCTCAACATCAGTAGCCACCTACATGATGCTCTTCGAAGAAACCAAATTGAAACATATATCGTCAATAGCCTCGAGAAAGGAGGAGTGCTATGGACATCTCTTGAGAAAGCCGTTGAAGATTCAACTCTATTTCTTGTGATCTTCTCAGAAAATTATGCATCTTCCACATGGTGCTTGAAGGAGCTCACCAAAATACTGGAGTGTTCCAAAAATCAAGGTCATCATCGCCTTGTCATGCCTGTATTCTATAGAATAGAACCTTCACATGTGAGGAAGCCATCTGAGAGTTACCAGAAAGCATTTGCAGAACATGAGCACAAAAACATAAACCAGCAACAATTGCAAAAGTGGAGGGAGGCTCTTGCCGATGCTGCCAATTTAGTTGGTTGGCATTGAAGTTTCACTAGGTAACTAATAAACGCTTTTGATCTTTCTCTTATCATGCATGTTGTTTTGTGGGACTAAATTAAATCAATCTTTGAGCATCTGCTGGAGCTTAATAGCCAGGGTTGGTTCTCTCATACAGAAACTTATGCTGACATTATTAGGGGATAAAGAATCTCATCTTGGCATGCTTGATGAAATGGCTCCTTATGCCATGAGAAGACTTGGTCCAAAAAAAAAAATTCATTGTTCTTGATGTTGTAGATGATCAAGAACAATTAGAAATTTTAGCTGGGAGACATAATTGGTTTGGATCAGGTAATAGAATTTTGATAACAACAAGAGATAAGCAAATTCTTAGAAAGAAAATGGATAATACATATACACGAGGCTTTGAATTATGATGAGGCTTTTCAACTTTTCACCTTGCATGCCTTTAAAAAATACTGTGATGACCCAAAAGTAAGGAGTTTGGCAATGAAAGTGACTTTTTATGCAAATGGAATCCATTGGCCTTAAAAGTTTTAGGTTCCTTCTTGTGCGGAAAAAATCAAGAAGCATGGGAGAGTCAATTGGAAAACTCAAAATATTACCTTGCTCAAAAATCAATCATGTCCTAAGATTGAATTTTGAAGGGCTTGATTGTGAAGAGAAAAATGTTTTCTTAGACATGCATGTTTTTTCAATGGTTATGATGTGGATTATGTAAAAAAAATTGTTAGATGCATGTGGTTATTTGACCATCATTGAATTGAAGAGTCTTGAAGATAAAGCTCTTTTAAAAATCTATTAAAGAAGAATATCTATGCACCATTTGATAAAGGAAATGGGTCGAGCAATTGTTCACGAAGAATCATTGAAGGATCCCACTAAACACAGCCAATTATGGAATTCTAATGAAATTTCTCAAATATTGAAAGAGAACTTGGTAAGGGAAATATGTACATAATTTTTTTAGATAGAAATTTGTTGAATTCTACATTCCTATATTTAATTTGCATAATGTTTTGAGTAGTATATATCTTTATTATTTTCTTTTTATTAGGGAAGTGAAGTCATCGAAGGCATAACTCTGAATGTTTCAGAAATTGAGGAGATGTGCTTGAGTCCCAAAACCTTTTGTTCAATGCCGAATCTGAAGTTTCTTAATTTTCATAAAACATTCAATGATCCGGCTGGGACCAAGTTACATTTTCTCACGGTTTAGTTTTTTTGCCAAATAAACTTGGACTGTTGCATTGGGAGAAATACCCTTTAAAGTCTTTGCCAGCAACATTCAAGGTTGAACATCTTGTTTCACTTGAAATGCCAAGCAGCAATTTGACAAAACTTTGGGATGGCATCCAGGTAAATTTTTTACTTTTTACCAAAAAAACAAAAAAAAAAGTATTGTCAATACACTTGTTGGGAAATATTATTGCTATTTTGGCCAGCAATCTTACCAAATAATGTTTTTGTTTTGACAGAATCTTGTGAATTTGAGCAAGATTCAACTGGTTGGATAAAAAAAATTTAATAGAGCTCCTGAACTTTTCAAAGGCCATAAATCTATCTGAAGTTAATCTCAATTATTGCTCAAAATTATGAAGTGTTCATCAATCTATTTTATCTCTAAATAGCCTTCGTGGTTTATGGCCAAGAGGTTGCAAAACCCTTACTAGCCTCAAGTAAAACCCATCTCAAATCACTTAGTGATCTCGGCCTTGAGGAATGCTCAAAATTGAAAAAAATTTCAGGGACCTCAGAAAATTATTGGTTTGAATTGAAGCTTTCAGGAACAGCCATCAATGATGAATTGTGCTCATCAAGCGGGCGTCTAAACAAAATTGATTCATTGTTTCTAAACAATTGCAAAAGTTTGACAAGTCTTCCCTACAAACTGGTTGAACTGCGTAACCTTCGACGTCTTTATGTTAATGGTTGTAATAAGTTAGCATCAAATCTGCGTTCCATATTTGATGGGATACGTGCTCTGGAAGTTCTATGGCTAAGTGATTGCAATGAACTAATTGAACTCCCATTCAGCATCATCTTCTTGTCATCATTATGTGAGTTAGCTCTCTCAAGGTCTAATATTGAGACTTTGCCTATAAGCATCAAACATCTTTCAAGCCTGCAAGATCTTTACTTGGATGGATGCAGAAGACTTCGGTCTCTGCCTGAACTCCCTCCCTCTGTCTTAGCACTGTCTACCATCGACTGTCTATCCCTTACGACTCTACCTCTACCTTTAACTATTGAAGATGAAGAAGGAAAAGAAGTAGATTATGATGATGAAGATGAAGAGGAGCCATTTCCGTACTTTTGCTTTACAAATTGCATGAAGTTGGATCGACAATCAATCAAAGCCGTAGAAGCAAAAGCCGTCCTTGAGATGAATAAAGGCATTTATAGCACGGCTAAAATAGAATATCCAGGAAATAGAGTTCCAGAGTGGTTCATGTATAGGACTACACAGAACTTTGTAACCATGGATCTTTGCTCCATTCCACAACCTTCTTGGGATGGCAGTTTCATTTTCTGCGCTGTCATTCCTCAATCACCACCAAGTACATTCATTGATGCCACAAGGTTTATTGATGGTCAATATGCTTGCATGGCTGCCACCTCGTTTGGGACGACTGAGTCACGTTGTTCAGATCATGTTTTCGTCTGGTATGATTCCTATTCTTTTGAAGGATTGCGAAGGAAAATTGAAGAAAAGAAAAAAGATGCTCAAAACAACACTTATCATCCATCGGTTGAAATAGAATTCACAGTTACATGTTGGAAGTCTTTAGATTATGGAAGAATAGGGAAGATCAAAGGGTGTGGGGTATGCCCAACATCTGCAATTGAATATCAACAATACATTAAACAGATTAAATCGGCATTGCAGCAACATCTTAACTCTACTGCAATGGGATCACTTGCTCCTTTCACAAAGACGCTGTCTCTTGAAAGCGCAGATACCACAGCTCTGATGAATACCAAGAAATGATTTTGAGTTTCAAAGATCTCAAGCTAAACGATCTTCGACTTCATACATGGCTCCCTTCCTCTTGAAAAAAGGTATCCTCTGCTTTTAATTCTGATGCATAATTTTTGTTCCTACAACCCCAATTTTTTTACTTCTTTTTTTTTAAAAAAAAAATTCCATATTTACAAATCGATCATATAAATAAATAACAAAAACTGAGCAAATTGAAGAGTTCAGAAAGAGCAAATTGCATTGATTATTTAACCTTCCCTTATTGTTTAAGTAAGCTTCTGCGCACTTTTGCTTTCCCTTCTGCAAAATCTTCTCAAACAGAGAAAACTTTGCCATTATTTTTCACTTTTGTAGATTACATTCCCTTGTCACTGCTACTTATTGTTCCACTATCCGAGCTAAGAATAGTGATCATGACTTTCTACTGAAGCATAAACAACCATCCCAAATCCCCATTTAACATTCTCATTGATGATTACTTCCATTGAAGAGATGATTTCAGCGAGGTTTCTGCTCTAAGCAAAAATGGCAGAGGGGAACAAAATAGAGGAGCCTAAGTCACTGTCTAAAGCCTACATCGCAAAGCTCTCCATAGCTTCTTTCCTTCCTTTTCTACGTCAGAAGGATTTGGGATTGAAAGGAGAAAGAAAATAGGGGTAGTTCCTTGTGTCTTGATTATTAAATCCTATTAAAAAAATAAAAATTAAGTTTTTTGTGTGTTCTTTTTCAGTGAATATAAGTTGCTCGCAAGTTTTTTTCAGTACGTATAAGTTGTTCTTTTTGTTTAATTCAAGCTCTTTCTTTTATTACTTACAAGTTTTCACCTATTAAAGGCAATGATGTTTACAGTAGGATTGACACTTTTTTTAGTAGAAATTCAAATCTTGATTTACTAATTTGAGGGACTAGCCCTTTTAACTAAACTAAACTCTTATTGATTTTAATTCAAGTTCTTTGATAAAACTACATAAATATTGTATTATAGTGGTAGAGGTTAATAAAAATTGAAAAAATTTCAAGGACTCCTTCCCCTAATTTAATTTCAGTCAAAATCTCTAAAATTTTGAAATTTCACTACACACGTGGGAGATTGAAATGAAATTAAAGAGCTTAATAAAATGGCCTTATTGTCCTTGATGAAGCTAGGCGCATAAATAACTAATGTAGGGAAAATAAAACCACTAATGTAAGTGAAATTTGTAACTTTCATTAATAGCATAATACCACTATAAAATTGCAACTCTCATTTTTTTCCTACATCAATTATTCATTTTTCATATATCAATCATTCATTTTCTCTATACAAGTTATTCATACACCCAAATTTTGCTTGCATTATTTGTTCATTTTCATACATTAGTTGTTTATTTCACTAAGGACAACAAGATCATTTTAATCAGCTCTTTAATTTTATTTTAATCTCCCACGTGTGCTGTAAAATTTTAAAATTTTATAGACTTTGATTAAAATTAAGTTGGGTCTAAGGTCCTCACTTAAGTTTTCCCTAAAAAAATTATACTTTATCATTTGAATTGAATGAGATAATAACATACATTGTGCTCCATTAATCCAACCTTCATCTCAACATTTTTTAAAATAAATATTTTCAAAACTCACTGCAATAAAAACGCACATCTCTCTTGAAAAGATTACAAGAGAACATAATAAATCTGACATAAAAATATTTCTCTCAAAAAAATTGTCTCAAAATTTGAGAGCAAATTCTCTTCATGTAAATTTGAGAGAACTTTCTCTAAAAAAAATATTTGAGAGAAGTTTTTTTCAAAAAATTTTTACGATAAAACTTTTCTCTCCATAAATTTCAAAAGGAAGTTGCCAATTTCATATTTTTATCTCAGCAGATATATCTCAGGAGTGAGATAATACAATTTTTTAATAAAATTTATACTAATATTATATTGATAAAAGATTAGAAAATACAATTTTTTAATGGATCAACAACTATGAAAAACAGTTTCACAATGTTCAAAAGGATGTTCATACTATAGAACCTTCTATGCTTCATAAGCTACAGGATGGTATTGTAAAATCTATTTTCAAATGGCTTGAAGCTTAAAATCCAAATCAAATCTTTGAAAGGATATTGTCCATCTCTTTGGCCTTTATTGGAGATAAAGGGATCCTCCTATTGAGTGGTTTACTATGAATGCCAAACCAATCTATGTCTCATACATCAACGATTACTTTATCTAGGATTGTGCCCCAGAAATGTGTAACCCAAATTGTAATTGTTATCTTTGAAATGATTTAGATGATGATGATTATAGTTCCAAGAGAAAAACTGAAAAATCTAAGCATCCTAGATCTCATGCAGAAACAAACACCCTCCAAAAGATGATGATGACAACCATGGTTTAAACAATCAATAAAGATAAAATGGGTAGGACTTCCAATTCTTTTTACTAAGAGAAGTACTCTCTTTGACCTTAAAAAGCTTGGCCATGAAGACCTTCTTCCATTGAAGAAATCAAAACCAATTTTTCCACAACATCCAAAACATGTCATCCCAATAATCCCACCTGCACAAGTACAAGCTTTTCTTTGTATTGCTATGGTAAGGCCTTACAAGAAATAATTCCTCCTCTTGAACGAAAGACAAATGAAAGGACAAAAGTGGTTAGTGTGCCTTTTGTCTCCTAAATAAAAGTAACTTCTCAAGGTATTTTTCAACCTATCACACCAACAGAAGAAGTCCTCAACTGCCAATCTCAAAATACTGTATGGCTAGATAAGTGAGGTATTCCTACCACAACTGCTGAACAGCATATCACTTTTGAAATAGCCCAACCCTTGATTGATGGTTGGATCAACCAGGGTTATACAAATTATTTTTTATTTTTATTCTATATTATTAAAATAAAAAATTATAAAAATTATTTTAAAAAATTAATAAATCTTCTTACAAATTTAGATAATTCAAATTTAATATAGGCAATCCAAATTTAATATTAAAAATTTTTAATAAGTTGACTATACTATCCAGAGTATATTGGATTAAACTTTTAATGTTAAATTTAAACCATCCACATCAAATATGGACAACAAGATTGGCGAACAAATTTATTAAATTTATCATTTTTTATAATTATATTTTAATAAATATAAAATAAAATTAAAACATAAACATTTAATCTAGATTGAGAGGTAGGAGGAGGGAAGAGTGAGAGGAGGAAAGCTAAGTCTAAATTAATAATAGTATACCTTTTTTAAGAATTCGTGAGTCCAAAAATTGAGACATTGCATTCTTGACAAAATTAAACAATTCTTTTTTTATACAAAAATTGAATAATTTTTTTAAAAGAAAATATTTTTTAAAAGTATACTGATTAAATTTTTAAAAGGAAAGACTTTTTTTAAATTATATTATTTTAATTAAATTTAGTATTTTTTTGTTTTTTGGGTGTGAAAATTAAAAACTACACAACTTTATTCAAAAAAACAATGCTTTTGTAACTTGGACAGCACCTTATATTAATTTTAAAGCTTACAAATTTTACATGCAGCGTCTCATTTTAAGAAACATGTTTCTGAAGCCACAGGAACAACGCACCACTTATGCAAAAACTCCCTCCTCTCTTTATTAGCCCCTCTAGACCTCTTCGAAAGAAATAATTGTGAGAATTAACCCATAATAATTCAGAGTCAACCGTGGCATCATAATGATTGAGAAAACTAGCCCATAACTCACAGAATCGTGAGATCATAAGAGTTGATGATTTAAAATTTTCATTTGTATGTTATAACCAGTGAAGCTTATCTCTCAAACTTAAGCACGAGACCCTCTTCTAGTGATATGCAAAAATGTGATTTTGTATGAATTTTGGTTTCAATCTAAAAGGTGGATTAGTTCCAATGCATCCACATAACTGATTGCGGACTACATATGAGACAAGGAAATGAAATCTCTAAGGTACACAGTCACAGGCTCAGAATTGTTCAGCAGAAATATAAACACAAACTTATATATTAACCCCTTTCACGGTATATCATATTTTGCATCCCTTAAAACAAAAAATTTAGTAGCCATAAAATACCTTTCTACCAAGCAACACCCAAAAAAACTAAATGATATTTTATGTACAAGCACTCCGTAGGAAAAACCAAAATGGCACAGGCAGAGATAAGAAAAGAAAAACAGAGCATTCCTGTGACAGTACTAGATTATAAATATTGAATTTACATACTACACTAGCTCTTGTTAGTTAATGAACTAGCACAGCTATCAGTTTGAGCATACTCTTGATTTCCCATTTTTTCGCCTGCACAAAGAACATAATAATAAATGTTTATTAGTCAGAAACAAGCCAACACCAAAGGTTTTTTTAGGAATCTATCATTTGATATCCAATAAAAATATACTAAATGAAGGTTTTTTTTTTTTTTACAACACAACAATACATGATTTAGTCTTTCAAAAAGTTCGTTTATGTATTATTTGCAATTGGAGAATTTAATAACGAACTATAGAAGTGAAATCTTGAGGAGGAAAAATGAACTAAATGGAACTAACCAAAATAAATCTTTCTTTTCTCGTGCTAGTAATTCCTCAAACGAAATGTCGGCAAATTCATCCTCTGTGGCCTCCTTCTGCTCAGAGGCTTTGGCTTTCTCCATACAAGCTCCAATTTCCAGCATCTTCAAGTAGAAATGGTAAGTGTGAGATTTCTTCTACTTTACTACAAAAAAATGTGAGATTTCTTAAAAGAATAGAAGCAAACAAAAGCACAAGATCTTTCATAATAAACCCTTTGAGCTGGTAGTCTGTCATTCAATTTAATGATAGGGTCAAATTCCTCTCCTTTCTTGAGAAATGACTTAATTAGAAGATTTCTCTTGAAACCAAAAAAGTGCCCTAAAATAAATGATATCATCAACATATTTTTGCTAAAAAACAAAGGGAATGCTGGGAGGGAAGACTATACAGATCTTCTAAAAGTAAAAACAAAGCTTACCTTCTTGTAAGCTGGGGAGAGTTTAAGCTGCTGTTGAAGCCAATTGTAAACAGTTGCATCCTCCTCCAATCGCTTCTGTTCCAATTCCAGCTTGTATATCTGGAACGTTAAAGAATCAGTTACTCAATGTTTGTGACTGCATGATTGAGGCCAAAGTTTTCCTTGAGACCTCTAGCTGTCTTACTAATCAAATTGGATCTTTCAGTCATACAATCATATATTTGACACAAAGTAGTGGGACTATGACTGAGGCCCACAGCTTATCACACAAAGTAGCAAGACTAGATAAACAAGATCTAAATTTCCTCTTTTCTCTAGAGCAGAGAATCCAGATTCTTAACCAACCTGTCGACGAAAGCGGTCAAAGGAGGATTTATCTGCCTTAAATAGTAAAGCCTTTGTTATTACAAATTTTCGTTGGATCACATCAGCCCTGAGTAAAAGAGCATGAAAGCATAAGAATGACAGGAGACATATAACTAGGAAGAAATTCACATGATATCAAATTAGTTTCCGAGAGAACAATGAAACAAACAAAAAAGAAACTCCTTGAAGTAGATGCTTTAGAATAAATATGGAGTTCTGGACATACTTGTGCTGTAGCACATTCCTTGCTTCAACCAAACTATTAGCAAACTTTACCACCTGCATTGTGGAAGAGCAGGGTTATAAATTTTAGATGCTTGTATTGATAAATTGAACGAACATCTCATTTTAAAAAATATGTTCCAGAAGTTGCAAGTACCATGAAAAAGAAAAGGTATGGTTATTAGAGCTGATTTCGTTTGTGAAATAGAATGAAATGAAAAAAGGAATGGAATGAAAAAAGCGACTTTTTAAATGTGAAATATCATATGTCCCTGGATAAAAATTAATAATAAAAAGAAATAGTTGTTATTAAGTCATGATTTTAGGAATATAGCAGGTATTTCACATTTTGATTATTGTGCAATGGAAACAAATTCTTTTTCCTTCAGTCTAATCAAACAAGGCCTGAAATAAGAACAACCTCACATGAAAGAAATTTTACATCATTCTCACATATCAAATCCATAACAGTATTGTACTTTTCATTCAGAAGAAAATGATCCTAGATCTTTCTTGTGTGCTCTTTCTTATTTTATTTTTTGTTTCAAATCAACTCATCAAGATTCATCATCAAATATACAATTTATAGCAAACCAAAGCGTTCATTTCTTAAAATCCATACAACGCAAGAAAGCCCACTTAGTACCAATTAAATGGTTCTTTTAAATTGAGCTAAGAAACAGCCATCTGCCTTTGAACAATGTCTAATACATACTTGGCTAATTTTGCTCCTTACCGGAACCAACTTTCAGTACTCAAGTCCAATGCTCTGATGGAAAGATATGTTGAGCAACTAAAGACACTCTGACCTAAAAAATCACATATACTCACAGAATTTTTGCCTCATCATAGGCACCAACTTGTGGTACTCAATTAGAATGCAAGTCAATATTCTGATAGAAACATGCTGATACCAAAATCTGACAATGGACGAAGGAGCTGAGTATGAACTTCTTTTGCTACTATATTGCTCATCCAAGGTGAGTCATCATAATCCTCAAATTACTAGCAAATATACAAAGTATAAATTTGATTAGAAAACCTTATGGCTTTCATCCATTACAAATTACCAAATGATAAGGCTTCTGATCTACTTTCAGCACACTTCACACCCTGAGCACAGAATCTCACAAAAATTTTAGCACATTTCATGCATATGCCTTCACTCACACTAGTACCTATTACATGAAACTAGTGTTTGTTTATTTTCTTCATAGCAAATCTTTCATGGGACATCAAACATCCAAAAGTTTTCCTCTCCATCACCTACGTACCTCAATCTACTAGAGAAAGAGCATGTTTTAATGTTATAGTTCAAGAAAGACGTTGAGACTTGCGAGTTCTATTTGCAAATCCATGTAGTCATTTGGTAAATCTATTTCTCCCTTTACTTATGAGACTTAAGATGGGCATTGTTACCACTTACTGGTCATGCATATTGTTTCTCTATTCAATTGCATTATGTTCACCCTATGCACGCCAATATCCTGACCATGCATTATCCAATACTACCAACCAAACATAAAGAAAGCACCCAATTGACCTAGCACAAGTATGTCTCCCTATAAGAACTAGTTCCAATTGTGCCACAACAAACAAAGCAGCAAAGTTACGTATTCCTTGCGAGTTGTGACTAATCTACATAACTGCATCTATCAAATACATCCATCTAGCACAGAAATATCACTTCCTAACGTGAAATGGAAGCCTAATTATATGCAACGTGGCTGCTCTCCACTTTCATAGACTACAAGGAGCATGCTTTTCAAAGAAAAGCAGCCGAACCCCTGAAGTTTAATCTTATGGATCACTTGCCCCATAATATTAGCATAAAATTCCCCGAAAAAAGAATTATCTCTCTCTCATTTCCTATCAGAAACTAGTCCATTTAAATTTAGTAACTTTCGGAATGGAGATTGTTACTGGCCAGTGCACTACATCTACCTCAACTTCAATCAACAATTAAAACATAAAAACAACCAACATACTAAGCCTGATGTCTGAATACAGTATTTATGCTTTTCTTTTTGTTTGGTGATTAGTTATGCTTGTGTCTACTATTATCAGAAATGTTACCTACAATCTTTCTCTTCCCGATCAAAGAATTAGACGTGGCATATACACATATATTGGTAAGAATGTACAAAGTAAGCACATGAAAATAAGAAACATAAATGCTCAAAAGTGGCCAAATAATTGCAAAGACAGAAGGTGAAAAAAAAAATTATTTCCACAGACCAAACTAGATTGATATATCCTGTTGTATTATATCATAGGCAGGGTAACGTAGCAGACAAAACAATAAGCTTTAGCAGAGAATAAATTTCAATAACTATATTGCAACCTACAACGTATCTGATACGGCAATAACTCAAGAGTATGAAACAAAGAGTCACAAGTACTGACACAAATATGATATGACTAAAGGGAAAGAGTGTAAATTAGACAGGAGTTAGTTAGGTGTTGGCTGTAATTCACCAACGGCTTTGTGAATAAAAGGAATTACAACTGAGAGGGAAGGAAAGTTTTGATCGGTAATGAAGATATTCTGTTTCCAGTTCTCTCTCTCTTTCATCTGTCTCTCTTATCATACCACAACACGAGACGGAACAAACTATATAATGGTTGGAATACAATTTGAGATTCGTCCATATCTAATGTGAGTATTGGATTCTTATCAGACATAACATATAAGGAAAACAGAAAAGCAATAACAGGGTGCAAGCTGGGAAAAACCTGAGCCAGTGTCAATTTCTTCGATTGGTGGCATTTCACGAGCTCATCATACTGATGTTTGATCCTTCTCTGCATAGCGCTACTAGAAGAGGTAAACGGGTATAAAAAGATGGGTTCTTTCCTGAGCTCCATATCCGAACCCGTATTTGCTCTTTCCTCTCCTTTGTCATGTTCAGAACTATCTACAGCTAGCGAATTTATTTTCTTCTTCTTTGCCCCCCTCCTCCTCCTCCGATTCTTCCCTCTTTGCTCTTCCGAGGTATCATCAGCCCCCGCATTCAGACCCGAAGAGGTCGAATTCAGTTCCTTGAAATCACAACTTTTATCATCGAACAAGCTGGCCCATTTCGCCGAATCAGACGGTAATACCTCGAGCAAAAGCGAATGGGTCAAAGGGATCGGGTCATTATCATTGGCGTGATGAAGTTTAACTTCATCAGCACATTCTGATAGGGAATGCTTCACTGTCGTCGGTCCATGACTTTTAGGATTCCGGGTTTTCTCTGGTTGCAGCTGCTCTGTTTTTGATGGCTTTTTAAAAACAGAGAATGAAATGACGATGAGAGAAAGAGCAACGAAGAAGATGAGAAAAGCGAACGAAAAAATTTCCGGATCTTGCATCTGAGGTTGAAAGTGGAGTGACAATGAGTTAAAATGGAGGAGATGGAGTGTGTAGGAAGGCAAAGTAGCCACGGAGGCGCGCATTTACAGAGAAAGCAGAGTGATAGAAAAAATGTGCGCCCGGGCAGGCAAGTTGTTTTGATATCTTACATCATATGGTCTCTTGGGTTTGATAAAATTGACGAAAGGCTATTTTATTTAGATGAAACTAAATTAAATTAAATTAAATTAAATTAAAAAGACTGCGGATAAACAATAAATAAATAATTTTGGTTACTGAATGACATGCCCAATGTGATTTTCAAAAAATAAAATAAAATAAAATAAAAAACAAGAATAACAGCTTTAATCAACTACACTATCTGGAAGGCATAAAAAATGCGATTTATTATTTAGACTTAGTGCAATGACCCGTGCCAGTATTTAATATATTCATTGAAAAATATCTTTAAAATTTCTTCTTTTTTGGGGATGAGACTTAAAAGAATCATATTTTGCACCAATGTGTATATTTTTTAAAAGAAAAATTTACTTTTGTACGACTATTCATATTTATTTGGATCCCAGTTAAATGTCTCGTTATTTTTAAGAAAACCAGGTCATAATTATATTAAGAAGTTCGATAATACATGTCTACAAAGGCTAAGCCAAAAATCAGAATCTCAATCTTAAAAACTCGACAGAAAGCTAACGAAATGAATAACCTACCACTGTACTATTACAGTGAGCATGAAACATCATGAACCAAAGACAAAGTTCAACAAAACCAAAAGACAAGGCATTAGAAAAGAGAAGCAAACATGGCTTTGACTTGCAATTTTTCTTGAGATGTTTCTTACAAGAATAGAGCAACTAAACAACCAGATCTCATGGAAGCTTCCAGGGGGGAAAAATAACAAAAATAGTACAGGAAGCAAGAGGCTTCACAAGATAACAAAAAAGGAGATTTTTTTGCACATGGATCCGATAGTATTGTTTCGATGATTATCCAGCAATAGTTCTTCACAGAGCTTCTTCACCTTCTGTATACCTAGAACAATATATACACGTCCACGTCCACAATCTCTAGAGGCCTTTAACCAGAGGGTGTGTTGTGTTTTACTGCAACTTCACCTAGGTAAAGCCAAAAACAATGCTTGTGGTGGTGATCTATATTTGTAGAATTGGTTGACCCAACAACGCTTAATTGAATCATTAAAAAAAAAAAAATTGTAATCTTGAACCATTGTCACGTTTGTTTTCTGATTTAAGGATGATCAGGAGCAAATGGCCTCCACTGAGAGTTTCTTCATCACATTTGGACATGGATCTCCTCCAAAGTTTTCAGGTGTCACAGTTACTTTGCACCAATTCTGCCCAACACAGTTCTGCAGCAACAATCTATATTTAACGCCGTGCCAACAGTGAATCAAGAAAATGAGACTAAAGAGATCATAATCTATGGACGACTTGAAAGGATTATTTTGTTAGATAGAAGTTCTTCAAGGGCCTTTACTTAATAACCTAAGCTTTTGTGCTAAAGTGGTATTTGACGAGATACAGAAGTATCTATGACTAAATAGCTTGGAATTCAATCCTTGCTGTCCTAATTTTCCACAAATCAACAAAAAAAATGTCACCCTACCTGTAGTATGCCCACGTTATGTCCACACTTCTAACCCCATAGACTAATATAAGAGATCATAAATGCATTTCATAGGCCTTTACGTCATAGGCCTAAACTTGAGTTGAATGATTCTAGACACATCCAACATTTCATTCACCAAAAGTTCCATGGAGAATGACCAATGATTATATCACATAAAAATAGACGAGCATTTTCAGAAGTTCCATGGAGAAGCAGAAGCAGAAGCAGAAGCAAATGAAAAAGGTAAAAAAGTAATACCCTTTCAAAGGCATCATATGACTTGTGAGCATGACATTTTCCTTCCTGAAAGCTTCCACAGGACCCTACTGGAGTACCAAAGCTAGCAAACTTGATTGAGGAGATTTTCTGCCCAGGGCCACATGATAAATGTACTTTCGGTCTCAAAGGTCTGCTGACCTTGCCAGATGCTTGCATCCGATAACTTCTTAGATTTGGCTGCCATTCATAAATATCAGCACAAACACTGTCTATTTCCCGTCTAACCAAAGCAATGCCACTTGGATCTCCAACCAATTCCTCAAACACAACCAGTAAATTTCCAACTGGCTTCAACCATGATCGAGGGACATGATACCTGAAACCATCAGCCAATATCCAATGTGATAATAGTTCCTCACCAGCATTAGACAACCAATACATGATACCAACTAGTAATTTATTTCTCACCATCTTTGAGAGGCCTCGCCACAGTTACTTCCACATTTCTTCTCATTATAAGTTCCTGCATAGTTACAGGAATCACAAGTACCTGATGCTTTATAAGCAGGCCAGTAGCGACCGAGACTCTGCCCGTTTATCCATACTTGACCTTTGCCCATGCTGCTCAAGTCTAAAGCCAATGGTGCAGTTCCAGCTGGGGCATCAAAAGTAGTCTACAAGCATGTAAAAGTGGAGTTAATGGATAGAAGGATGTTAAGGCCTGCCATTTCCATAACTTTAGTCCAGAAGGTTGCCATTTTTGGCTTGCCATGTCAACCTACTTTTACATGGCCAACATTTCTTTTAATAAAGCCACACATTCACTGGAAAGTAAAAATATTTTTCTGTAGAAGTCCAGATAGAATTCACAAATGGGAAGGCTAAGGTGCACATGCAAGTGAGATCCAAACAATTTTTTTTCTATTTCAACAATGAACATCGTTCTGCTACTAGCAGTAATAATAACGATAGCACAAAGAGACTATTAAGAAATGCTGGATGCAATTAAAGTTCTTGAGCAAAGTGTAAACCACTCACTTTGTACCAAGTCAATGGCTGCTTTTGTGAAACTAAATACCCCTGTATCCACTCAACTGAAGAACTTCCACTAAGAGAATGAATACTCAAGGCTTCACCTTTTAGACCAATCTGGAGGAAACGTGCATTTGAATGAAATTTCAAGAAATAAGGGAAGGTAGCGTAACAAATGTTTGAGGAAGAACCTTGTAAGACCATTTCTGCCACGATAAGTCCCTTCTCCCCTCATTGAGACCATTCAGTGTAACAGGGCCAAGAACACCAGCATTCCATGTTTCAAAATGTGGACCAACATTCTGCATGTCAACGTAATGGCAACAGCAGAGAGAGTCATAGTAACCCACAATTTATGTTTCTGAAAAATCAGACTGGTCTAGAAGTGCAGAAGTGCATCTGACAATATCTTTTGATTGGTGTGTGTGTGTGTGGAGTAAGAGCATGTGAGACAGAGGGAGGAGGCAAACCGGGAGACCAACTGCAACACTTAGGAGGGAGATTTTGTTAATACCAGCTCTCAGCTTCACACTCTCACTGAATGTTATTTTTGGAAAATCTAAGCTTCCATAGACAGTTCCTGATCAAAAGAATGAGAATAAACTTTACAATGTGAATAAAATCAAGCTATCATCTCATTTTTAGCTTCCAATGCAAGGGTTGGAATAATCATTGCATCACTGGATTGTTCTTAGAAGTTGGCTTAAGTGCTATTGTAATATTGTAAATCAGCACTGTGCTGCAAACCTGATAGCTGACCATTGATAAAGACATGTAAAGCATGCCCAGCGGATAAGATTGTAAGAACAGGGTCCTTTCCGTTGCTCAAAAATTCTTCACTGGGATCAATCACAACACTGGAAAGGGAGAGAAGAAATAAGCTACGAATAGTGTGTTCTAACAAAATGTTGAGTGAGAGAGAGAAAGCAGAACGTAGAATTATAAGTACTCACTCTGTGGAATACCATAAGTAGTCTGAGACATCTCTTGTTGTATTTATCTGCTCCAACAGGCCTGTCATGGTAAAGGAACTATCATAAGTTGAGGCTGTATCTTCATTGAATGAATCCCAAGAGAGTCCTTCATGAATTGGAACACTAGTCATCTTCATTTGTGCACTCTGCGCTCCAACCTGTACAGATATTGATTATTCATTTCTGAAATCCACAGCGTAAAATTTGCTGAAGACACTCATTTTCTTTATTCTAAGCAAAAGTTAAGAACTTGCAAATAGAAATTAGAAACCAAATATTAATTATTCCTTCCCTTTCGCGCATGTCTACTTCTATGAAATAAGCAAGTCAATCTTGTAAACAGAACTATAGCTGAATATAATCATCAACCATCAACAGAAAATTATTCAGTCCTCTCATATTCACATATACTTAATTAACCCAAATAATATCTTAAACTTCTTTTTCTCTACCCTTGCTGTGTTGAAAGCAGTGTGCTTGCAGTCAGGAAGAATGCTTATAGACCACGGAGGCAAGTTGTAATGCCTATCTCCAAAGGCCACTGTTGCAGTAGATCTTGAATCATGGTTTGCAAGGAATGCAGCACAAGCTCCCGATTCTGATTTGAAGACATGAGCCTGGACATGGATATGAGAAGTTAGAAATTTAGTTCAGTCATAAATCATATTAAATTTCAGGCAAAAAAAAAAAAAAGCATATTAAATGGGTTTGATAATTCTCAGGAAACTGAATCAAGCTAGATACCTCTTGAGAGTTTCCAATCTTTGTTACAATAGGATCTCCAGATATTAAAGCAGGTTCACATAGTTTTATTGCTCTGTGTAAATCCTTCAGATGGCCCCACTTTGGCTGCCTGAGCAGTCCTTTTTATAGGAAGAAATTATAGAACTCAAGTTCAGGCAGGGAGTTAAAATAAGCGAGTCATCTAGTATGTCACTTTTACTCAGGTGCATATTTATGCATATTATGTGCACTGGATTACTTTACTGTCACGTCATATCGCAATTGGTTGGCTTATCTATATCATTCTGGCAACAATGACATTTAGGAGAAAAACATTCATATAAATCCAAAGAATGACATTTATGAAGTTCTACACCATAAAATTTTCTCTTCTAAATATGAGGAAAAGTAAATGTTAAGTACTAATAGTTTGTGTAGATCTTTATAAAATTTAAAGACTCAAAACTCAGAGGATCCAGTCATATGTAAAAGGTACAGAACACAAATTATTCTAAAAAATGACAAGATGAAAAAGTGATTCAAAATGCATTCGGCTAAATTGAAGTAACAGTAGTGAAATGTTTGATATGGCTTCAACAGGTGACAGTGGAGATTGCACCAATCTCTTCTAAATAGAAATCAGAAGTGTTTATTTAAAGAGCGCTTATGAGACCTCACCATCAAAGGGGGAAAAAAAGTGCTCATGAGTCATGCAAGGGTTCAGAATACTTTATGAATACCATATTCATCAAGAGGCGCATCATAGTCGTAGCTTGTAGCAATGAATGGACCCCCAGCAGTTCGACCAAAATTTGTTCCCCCATGATACTGGAACAAAAAAAAAAAGCAAATGAACTTAGTCTCGTTATTTAACAAAATAAGTCCACATATTAAATTTGACAAATAATGAAGTTACCATGTAATAATTAACAAAAGATCCCCCTTTCTGCATAAACCTTGCAACTGAAAATGCCATGTCTTCAGCAGGCCGGTGAGGAACTGGACCTCCAAACTCAGTAAACCTTCAAGCATAGCCAAGTAATACAGGCAATGAACAGGTCAGGTGATAACTCATGTTCGTATATTTCTTGTTGTCAAGGAAACTTTTTCCCCCTCTTTTTGGACAAATACCACAAAAAGTAAAAAAACATAGCACAAGTAACATACAGGCAATGGAATTTCTTGTTTATCCACACCTACACATGCACACTGCTCAAGAATGTGGGGCATCAACCCCACTCTCACTCTCTCAGTAAGTTTTTAAGGCAACTTGAGAAGTAAATAACAAGGTGACAGACAAAAAATACATATTATACCAGCCAGTCCAAGCTTCTGTCCACATCTTTGGTTTGTAGTCCTTATTTGGAGAGAAATAATCACAATAGAAGCCATTGCATGTGTTAATCTGTCAAAATTCATATTGAAATTAGGAGCCAAAAACTCAAACATGCAAAGGACTATATCAATGAGGAAAGCATATGAAGCCTCAAGTATAATTCTCAAAGGGAGACAATACAAACCAAACTATGCAAAAGTTGCTCGCATGCAAATAATGCCTTCAGGCCTCAGTATCTATATCCAAAAGGGTAAAGTAGCCCACCCCCCACCCAAAAAAAAAAAAAAAAGCTCTCCCTTCTACTAGCTGAGTGTCATTTTTTTAAACTGTTACAATAAATAAGCATCATGCAGGGTAATGTGACTCTCATGGCAACACCCATTAGCCAGAGATGATAATGGAAAGAGTATTGAAAGGATAAACCATAAGCTAAGCTCAGCCAGTAAAATGAGGAATAATCATTTATTTACTCCAAGACTGACATGGATTCAACATACTGTCTATTAATCAAGAGGTTAAAAAAAACTTAGAGAACGTTTGGGCCATACGTAAATATGTGTTTGGAATGACACACTTCAGTGGAACTTACAACAGGATCAGGAGCATCATCTTGCTTGCACATGACCCAAGGAACCCCTGTACCAAGTCCTACAGCCATATCCGCTGCCCACTGAGTGTAGGCTTTACCGGGTGAGCCAATTTCATATTCCACGGGTCCGTATTCATTTTCAATCTGTACAGAGTGTTAGAAAAGAATTAACCTGTGTGTCAATCCCTTCTAGTCAAGAAAGTTTTTTTAATGAACAAATAACTAGAATCAGCAAGAAAATATACAGCAAGTGAAGCCAGCGATGGAATGAAGTAAAAGGCAAAGGAAGCATTGAGTCTACCTGGGATAGAACTATTGGACCACCCTGAGACTCAAATAACTTCTCGGCTTTCATCATATCAACGATCTTAGTTGTAAACCTTTGCATTTGGAACTTCATTAAGGAAATACAAAATATAAATAATCAGAACGTAAGACATAGGGAATAGGAAAAGGTTTAGATACTAAGTTCTTTTCCAAAATACAAGGATGCAAGTTATTTCACCTTGAAAGGCTCATTGTCAGTTCGAAAGCTGATACCTGGAATGTACTTCAGCCAAACAGGGAAACCCCTACAAATGGATCAGCAAAAATGTTGTGATATTTCTAGTTTCCCTCATGAACGGAAGTTTTTTTTGTCAAAAAAAATAAAATAAAAAGTGTCTTTTTAATACCCGAAGTTCCACTCAGCACAGACATAAGGGCCAATTCTCAGATGAACATAGAGGCCTGCCTGCTGCACCAACTTAATGAACTTCACTAGATCATAGTTCCCCTCAAAATAATACTACAGACAATGGGGAAAAAATTGATTAGCTCTCGCTATTAATGGACGACTATGCACCATTTAACATGGCCAGCAAAGGTAGCTGGGAAGTACTCATTACTTTGCCAGGCTGAGTTTCATGCCCATTCCAGAAAACGTAAGTCTGAATTACATCCAATCCTCCTTCTTTAGCCTTCTGAATGAGATCTGGCCACATCTGACACAACCAAAGATTCCGAGTAAGGAAATGCAAATCAAAACAGAAATGGAACGTCAGCAATCTGTGAGACCCATGAAGCACATTTTAGAGTAGATACCTCAGGAGCACTTCTCGGGTAATGAATGGATCCAGAGATGAGGATCCTTCTCTGGCCATTAATGGTAATAGCTGTATGGTCGTAAGATACAGAGGCTCTCACAGAACCCAATAATGAACATGGAAGCAGCACCAGGACAACAAGAACATTACACATTATGAGCTTGAAGAAGCCCATGGCCATGAATACTATCTACTGACTTTGGTCCTCAGCTTGGTGAAGTAATAATGACTTCCTTCTGTTCAAGATATCCTCAACCCTGACACTTTATTCCATGCTTCTTACTCCCGTTTTCCCCCAATTTTCTTCCCCTTTTCTTCCACTGAATGATTGAAGAGTGGAAGAAAGATGGAGTCTCAAAGGGAGCAAAAGAGTGCATTTTTAATTTGACGTTACTTAATTATTTAATTAATTAACTGACGGAATTTTGGCCTGGGATGCAAAGATGAAGGCGCTTTGCATCTGCTTTTAAGCACTGAGCAGTGCGGCTGTGTTGGCATGGGGAGGGTTCGGGGGGACCCACTTTTGTGGGGCTTTGGGACCCACACCTTGTCTTGCTCCGAATGTCTATATTGTGAATTTATGATATTATATAATTATAAATGAAAAAAACTGTATACTTGTATATTTAAGTTATTCATTTTTACTTAACTTGAGACATGTGTATTTTATATACTATTTATTTTATAATAAATTATTTTTATTAATATTATTTTATTATTAATTAAATAAAAACATATTAAATATATAAGATTAAATATCTATTTTTTTTTAAAGTATGCCTCCAATTAATTCTCATTTAAAGTATTTTAGGCTTTCGCAAGGGTTGGTCTAATAGAAGAGCTAGGACATTATAATATGGAGAATTGATATTTAAATTTTTTGAAAAAATATTTAAATTTAATGTCTAATCTAACCTAATTACTTTTAATGAGAAAAAAGCTGTAAGCAATTAAAAAGTATTTTAAGCCCTAACTTTTCAAAGCAAAGATATCAAGTAGATATCGAAATGCAGATGATTAGTAAAAATAATTTGGTTTTTTATTGGCAAAATGATAGAAAAAATATCTTAAAAAGATATAAATGATAATGAGATCTTGTGAAGTATAAAAATTTTTCTCAAGTCCTTTGTGATCTTTTGAACATTAATGCCTTTTGTAAAATGACTATAACGCCTTCAATTTAAAATAAAAAATAAATGAACAAGTGATTATTTGTAGTTGTTGAAAGAAAAATAGTCATTATTTAAATTAAAGTAGTCATAATTACAATACTTGAATTTTAGTTATTAAAAAATTTGCAGGGTAGAAATTATAATTATTTATTTCATTTTAGTGTTTATTAAAAAAAGTGATTATTACTTAAATTAAATTAATCATTGATATTTACTAACACTTGGACTTTGGTAATTTGTAGAGCAAAATTTGTCATTTGCTATTTCATTTTAATCATTATTATTAAAAAGTAATCATTACTTAAACTAAATAATTATTGATATTTTTAAATTGAGATCATTATAGTCATTTTATAAAAAAAATATTAATCTCATTGAGGTCCCAAAAAACTTAAAAAAAAAATGATTGCATGAAATATACATGTACCTTGATTTAATTAAAAATAAACATTTTAAATATGTATATACATTTTTCTGCTTTTAAATACTCCCTCTGTTCAAAAATATAAGTGATTTTTAACCAAATCTCACCCTTAATAAAGTAGTTACTTACTTTCTAACTAACCTTATTTTTTTATATTTACCCTCATTAAACACCCTACAATAAATATAAAATTATTATCAATAGGGGCACTTTTAAGAAAATACAATGATTATATCTCAAAAATTAAAAAATATTTTATATTTTTTAACATTTAATTTTTTAAAAAATATTTTATATTTTTTAACTACATCTGGAAACTTGTACATAGTGTTGTAATTAAAAATGAAATAAATCTAAAAATCAAGACATATAATAAAAGATAAAAGGCACTCTGTTTCTATCATGCGCAGAATCAATCCAGTCAATTGTAAACGCATAATGGACGAGAGGCAGGGGTGGGGGGAGAATCGAGACTTCGCATCTGATGATTTTAATAACATTTGGTATTTAAAAAAAAAAAGTCAAATATAGCTCAACAAAGATAACGCAATAGCATGATAAATGACAGAGATATGATCACATCACAATAGTTTCCTCCAATAATAAAAGAGATTCAGTGAAAAGAATTAAAAAAAAAATGTCCTCTTGTTCTTATTTATTTTCTCTCCTTAATAATCAAATCCTCGTTCAGTCATGAATAAAATACTCTCTCCAAACCATAATAAAAATCATTTTTAAAAATTTTACTTTCTCCAAAACATGTGTTATATATATTTTTTCAATTACACACTTATTTTATTAAATAATTAAAAAGAGCATTTTGAATGTCATATTTGTTACATTCAAGAATACGATTTGAAGGATATAAAAAAATTTTAAAAAAATCAAGATTTTAATTGATCTTTTTTAAGCAATAACTTATATTGTGATATAAGGAGGAAATATCTCATTGAATTGGTTGAGGCATTAATTCAATCATTTACTGTTTTAAGTGATCAGATTAAGCATTGTCTGGGATAATATGACATTATCTCAAACACTAAAGGGAATCCACTGTTCATGATCAAGGAGTGTAAAGGAAGGAGAGGAAGTAAAGCCTGGTGGCGAGTAATTTATAAAAGAAAAGGAAAAAAAGCATAATAGTATTCTTGCAATGCAAGGTAAGCAAAAGTGAATGGCACAAATAATAGAGAAGCGAGTGAATCTGCAAGCTTGTTTGGAACAATATAATGTTTTTATTTATTTATTTATTATTTATCATTTTTGAACCTAAATAACACATTCGAAGTGAATGTCTGCAACAGTTTCATGATTGTACCGTGCAGGAGAAGCAAAATCCGTCTTCACAGACACAAAAAACAGATCAATAAGTCTGAACATCACGAAAGATGACCACGATTCTGATGTACCATTTTTTATTTATTCTGTATATAGGTCATCTTTTATATACAAAAAAAAAAGAATTGTTAATTTTTGTATAAGTGATTTTATGTAAAGAGAAGGATAATTAATTTATTACCTTCTTTTAATTTAATCATTTCATATTTTTTTATGAGTAAAGTAAAATGTTATAGATAAGAGAAAAATTATTTTTAAAAATAACCCACTTGATAAAAAAAAACTAGCAATTTTTTTTAAGACAACATCAATATTTAATTCTTTTCAAATCATAATATAAGGCATTAATCTAAAAAAATTAAATAAAAATTTAATCTTTTAAAATATTTTACATCTTTCTAATTATATTTCATTAAATATTGTATATATAAGGGCCTTAATAAATGAAAGTTAATTTAGTTTTCTAACTTTATATAATGTTTTAATTTCATTCTTTAATTTTAAAAAGTATTTTTTTTTAGTTTTCCAACTTTAATACCGTTAGTTTTAAATGATTATTTTTTTACATCAATTATTATTATTTTATAAAAATTAAACTAAACATATTAACATTTGACAATATTTTGTCAAAATTTAAAAGTTTAATGTATAATTTTTTGTGATAAACTAACAATCTTAGAGTTAAAAAAATTAAAAAGATACTTTATAAAATTAAGAGATTAAAATAAAACTTTACATAAAATTAAAGAATTAAATATATGCTTTAACCATAAATGAAATAGAGTGTAATTAAAAAAAACTTTACAAAATTATATAATACCTTATATTTTATAATACCAAATAACAATTATAAAAAATAGTTTATACCATGGTACCCATTGAGCACATGGAGGAAGAGTGTACAATGAATACTGAAGTTATCATAAAAAAAAAAAATTAATTATTAAAATGTGATAATATTTGAATAAATTTTTAGAAATTAATTTTGATAAAATTAAAAATATTTGGATAATTTTTTCACAATTAATTTTGAGTAAATAATTTTACTGTTCAAACTAGCAAGTCAATAATAATTGGAATTAATTTTTCAAGTGGAATAAATTTTAGTTTATCTCAAATAAAATTTTGAAAACTAAGTGAGGTTTGAAAAAAATTAAAATATTTGGATAAAATTTTTCAAGATCATAATTTTAAATTCAAAATTAATTTTAAAAGAATATCCAAACAGGCTATTTATCTTTTTTTCCTAAACAAGAAGGAGTAATTAATCTATGTTTAGTACATGAAAAAAATATTCACATACAAAACGGTGTATTAAGATAAAAAGAATGCAGCTACCCGGCCGCCGCCACCACCTTTAAGATTGAAAATTAAAAAAAAAATTATTATGAATACTTTTTGTTTGAAATGTTAAAAATATGAAACTAAATTTGGTTCAAAAAATTAAAACAAAGCTGAAGTTGAATGAGGTTCCCGCGTGGATATTGAATGTGGCGCACAGTTTTTCCAGAAATGACATAAAACCGCGTGCATGTTCATTCAGAGATGGCAGCAGCCTGCGAACTTTCAGAAATCTTGAAATTTGTACCTTTTATGTCTCTTCTATTCTTATCACTTTTGTTAAATTTATTGTTATAATATAATATTACACTTTCTCATTTAATTTATCTGTTATTTTTAACATGTTTAATTAAAATTAAAATTTATTCACTCAAATCTTATTTATAAATTATTTTTAACAAATTTTATTAAAATTAAAAAAATTAAAATTAATTAATTTTATTTTAAAATTTAATAAATTTTTACTTTTATTTATGATAAACGTTCTTAAATTTTATTATTAATATTTTTATTTTAAATATTTAATAAAAGTAAAAATATAAAAAAGAGTATTAAAAATTAATAAATATTTTATAAATAAGATTAAATTTTTTATTCTCTCTCTATCTTATAAATAGAATTAAAAAATATTAATTTTATTTAAAAATTTAATAAATTTTTAACTTTATTCTTATTAAATATACATACTTTAACTATATATTTTTTTTTTATATTTAATGAAAGGCAAAAAAAATTGTAATAAAATTTAATAATGTGACTTATAAATAAAATTAAAAAAATATTTTATTTCTACCATATAACTAAGACAAGAGAAAGTATAGTCATATGCTTTGACACATTTTTTTCTGTTCAATATTATAAGATATTTTTAATTTAATTATACCTTAATAAATTAATTAATTATCTTTTAAATTATACATTCTTTTTATGTTATTTCTATTTAATTGGATGTCTTAATTTTAAAAAAATTATTAATTAAACCCTTAATTAGGGGTATTTTAAAAAAATATTATTAATTATACACCGAAAGACTCAAAATATTTTATATTTTAAATATTTTATTTAAATATTTT